GGCCGGCCTGGGGCTTTATCCAGCTGCGCGACGTCCCCTTGTGGCACCAGGGCTGGGCCAAGCACCGAGTCCCTGGCACATGGGAGCCGTAGCCCGGCGTGTCTGCTGGAGAGCCGGCACAACTTCGAGGGGGTCTGTGGGGGTGGCTTGTCCCCGGCTGAGCACTGGAAGAGGGCTGTTTGAGGAATTCTGCGTTGGTGGTGAAAACTGTGGTGTGTCTGAGAAGCACCTCGCACGCTGACTGAACGGTTGTGGAGTGGGTGTGATGATGTGCTGGTGGAATTTCGTCTGTAGCCAGGGTCTTCTGCAGGAAGCTCTCCTGTCAGTGCCTGGCCAGCCTCATGGTTTCCACAGAGCAAAACGAAGACCTGCTTAAAGCTGAGGGCAGACATTTACAATGCATAGCCAGCTGGTATTTCTGCTGGTATTTTCGTGTGTTCATGTTTTAAATAGGCCTTTGAACTACTCAGCTGTAGTCACAAAGTAGGAGGCCTTTTGAAATCCTTCACGACTTTCCTCTTATTCTTTTTTAAGGTAACGGGTATTTCTGATACTTGGTCAAATCCTTCTGAAAATCTGTTTAGACCAGAGCATAACTCTTGCTCTTCCACCTTTGCTGCCAATGCCAGTGGACCTTCCTTGCTGTCCAGCATTCTTTTGATATCAGAGCTGTGTATAGGGATGTGAGGTAGAGACAAAGGTGTCTGGCAGAGAACTCTGGAATTCCCTGGTGGGTCCTTATGGCTGAGGGTTTGAGAGTGACAGTACAAACCAGTTACCCTGGAGAAGCACACAGACCTCAGGAGTGCTCCTGCAACACCCAGCCCGGTGTAGAAGCTGCTGGGAGGGGAGGGGAGGGGAGCAGCTGTGAAGTGAGGGATCATCTCTGTTTTAACCTGGAGGTTTCCAGCCAGCACCGTGTGTGCCCTGGCACCCAGCACGCTGCCTGCAGCTCATTTCTCCTTGGGGATGTGTAAGAATTGCAAAACCTGTAAATTTGTGGTTTCTTTGTTGCTAATTGCTACATTTAACGTGGTTTTCATGGCGTGCTGGAAACGGTGAGCAAAGTAATTTAGAGTAGAGTGCTTGATTGGCTGCTCACTGAGGGGTTTTATTTTATCTAACCATCCGTTGCCTGCGTGGCTTTCTGCGTGTTGTTTGTTCTGTTTGGGTGCCTGTTACTTTATTTTGAGGTCTGTGTACTTTATACTATTTTCCTTCTATTTCTGTAGTTAATGTTCTTAGAAAGGACACCATCGGTTCTCTAAACATTAATCTTTTAAACAATAATCTTTAAATTGTCAAACTGTTCTGGGTTCCTCCCCACCACCTGATAGCTTGCCTCTGCACCTTTGGAGAGAGGCTGGGAGAGGGGATGTTGCCTGATCATTGAACACTGTTCACTGGCTCATACTTGGGGTGTTCCTAGTAGCTGAATAACGGAACCTAAAGCCATGCCCAGCTTAAAGACTGGGGGGTGTTGCTGCACAAAGTTGGTGATCTCTGGCCTTCGTGGGGACAGATAAGGGCCCAGGCAGTGTGGGAAGTGACTCGGTGTGAATACCTGCCCCCCTCTGGGCATCCTGCCGGTGCTGCAGGGTCACTCTAGAGTGTGCAGGCGTGGCAGGGAAGACCCAGTGTGTCAGGCACAGTGACCCCACAACGTGCAGAGCCTCTCTGTGTGTGTTTGAAACAGGCTTTTGGGAGTGATCTGTCTGAAGTGACACAACGTGCAGAGCCTCTCTGTGTGTTTGAAACGGGCTTTTGGGAGTTATCTGTCTGAAGTGCTCTTCATGGTAGTAATGTTTTAATGCTTTAAACCCACCCTCATACTGAGCAGTGAATTTCCTGGTACCTGCTCTGCTGCTCCTGTAACCAGAGTCACATACTAGGCTGTGGTTGCTGTGCTTGAAGATGAGAAACAAGAGCACCTGCTGGGGTGCCCTGGGGCTGGGACTGCCTCTGAGAAAGAGGGCAGGCAGGATTTCCAAACGGAAGCCTGGGAAGGAGCAGGAGGGTGGGACCATGGTCAGGTGTGGCAGGGTGAGGGGTGGTCACGGGGCACCTGCAGGGCTGTGCTGGGGCTGAGAAGCCCCTCGCTGGCTGGGCTGGTGCCCCTGGCAGAGAGGTGCCCGGGGGTACCACGGGGTCCTGGCAAGCTTCAGCAGAGTCAGGGGGGCTCCTTCTCTCCACAGATGTGACGCAGACCCCTCAGCCTTAGCCAACTATGTCGTGGCACTAGTCAAGAAAGACAAACCAGAGAAGGAGCTGAAGGCTTTCTGTGCTGATCAGCTGGATGTCTTTCTGCAAAAAGGTACCGTGTTTGATGGGTCCCTTTCACCAGAGGGGGGAGGGAGGATGGTGCCCCATTGTTGTCTTCAAATTACTTGTCTGTGAATTGAGTACTTCTTATAGCAAGAAGGAAGAAAGATCTTATGATTTAAACACAAAAAAAACCTGAAGATGAAGTTGTATAGCTTGGTGTTGTTCATGGTGTTCAGGAGGAACTCCTCTGAAATAAAAGTAAAAGCCAGCAATTTCATTTCAATGTATTCCTCGTGCTGCCAGAAGTTTCTCTGGCTGGTGTTTGATAACCTGGAAACCTGGTCTGTGCTATATTAACTTCCAGGCTTCTGGAGAGCTTCTCAGAGCAACTTGGTTCAAATTCAAGGTTTTAAACACCTGAAATTCTGACACTCGCTGGGGAACTTCCTGTGCCTCTTTCTGTGATCTGATGTTAAACTAGTGACCAATTTCTTGTGAATGATTTATACTTACAGAAGTTGCCATGAAGAGGCTGCTAATGGAGTAACTAAGGATTTCCTCCTTGATCATGACTCCATCACACCTGCCCTTTTGAGCATTCAGAGTTGTAAATGTGATGGAAGGAAAAGTTTGTTTCTGTCTTTGATGTACCTGATGAATTTCTTTGTCTAAAGAAACAACCTCAAGTTCCACAAATGTAATTCCAGCTCCTTGAATGGAACCAATGTTAATCTGAGATGCTGCTGCTGTGAGCAGTCCACCTGGATTAGTTTTTCCAGGGACTTCTCTGGTAAATCTGACAGTGCCTTTAAATCAACATGTAACAATATTTTCTTGTGTTCTGTATCCTCAGAAACTTCAGGTTTTGTAGATAAGCTTTTTGAAAGTCTGTACACAAAGAGTTATCTTCCCTCTCTTGAACCCACGAAAGTAGAAGCAAAGCCTGCAGGTCAGGAAAAAGAAGAAGTCAAGGAGGAGGTAACGTGGGGGTTTTTTTGTCTACCTGTCTTAATTTTCAAATTAGCCATCCCCTACATTTGTGAAGCAAAATGTGAAACAAAACAATCACTTTATTGTGACTAATGATCTTCACAGTCTCTATGCATCTGCAGATAAATGGAAGATGACCCTTTAGACATGAACATTTTTAAATCCTTTTGTAGAGTCTGCCTTTGATCTGGATTAAGAGCGTTGAGGAATCCTGTCTGGATGTCCCTGGCATTATGAGCTGATAATGATTGGGAAGGATTTAAGAGAGGAGGAAGCAGCAAAACCATTCTGCAACGTTTCTTTTTCCAGTTTTGTATATTCTGTGACAAATAGAAACGATTTTAAATGTTTTTTTAAATATGGTGGCCTCCATGTTGAGGGGTAATTACTTCTCAAAGAAGTGAGATAGTGTTTAGAGTCTGCCTTTGATCTGGATTAAGAGCATTGAGGAATCCTGTCTGGATGTCCCTGGCATTATGAGCTGATAATGATTGGGAAGGATTTAAGAGAGGAGGAAGCAGCAAAACCATTCTGCAACATTTCTTTTTCCAGTTTTGTATATTCTGTGACAAATAGAAACGATTTTAAATGTTTTTTTAAATATGGTGGCCTCTATGTTGAGTATCTTGAGGGGTAATTACTTTTCAAAGAAGTGAAATAGTGTTTGTTCACCAGCAGTTTTCTTTTTTTCTTTTTTTAAGTTTTATGGACAAAATTGAAATCAATAAATTTTTTGAGAAAAGCAAAGTAATGCTTCCACAGCTGTCTGAATCCCCTTGTATGTTGTGTAATCCTCTGCTATTGCTTGCCTAAGGCAGGTAAGTTTTTCTTCTAAGCTGGGGATTTTCCAAGGGAGGAGATCTCTTCCCTGTATGTGTAGCATCCTAATGTACCAGCTTTGAGAGAGAGTTGGGAGGAAAATTGCTCTAGAAGTCAACATTCTGTATTTCTGTATACTCTGCTCACAGTTTGCAGAGGTAGTTCAGGCTGAATGTGTGTTTTAATTGCTATAGGGAAGGTGCAGATAAAGTCAGAGCATACACAATTCCAGTCCATTGCCCTCACTCCAGGCATGCTTATATTAAGAGCAAAAACTGTTGCTCTTTATATATGGGCCATTTTTTTCCTCACAAGTACTCTAAATGGATGTTCAGAGTTGTGCTATTGTCTGTGAACCTGCAATAACATGAAGGAAAGACCTTGCTGGAGTTACTTGTTCCATCTTCAGAGGTAAATCTGGCTCTAAAGATGGTCACAAGGTGACAGGTAGCTGAGATCACGATCTGTCAGTCAGCCAGAACAAAGCTGGGTTGGGTTGGGTTGTGGAATGCAGGTCCTTGTTTGAGCAAATGGGATTCATCAGCTGGCTTAGGTTAAACATCTCAGGATGAGATCCAGAATTAGGACAATTTATGGAAGTAGCTTTGGTGATGGAAGTTCATAATTTGCAACTATGCAAGACTTTCACTTTGAGAGTTTTCCAACCAGTTCTCAAAGTACTGTTGTAATTTATAAAAAATGGTTTAGAACTACCTTCAGTTGACTTCAGCAGTGCTCTGGTGGGGGGAAAAGGGGAGTTTTGGGGAGGGGCAGGACAAGGATAAGGCAAAAGAAGGTATCTAGGACAGCTTTATGGAATGACTTTCTGGGATCAGGACATTAATTGTTTCAGCATCAGTGAGGCCTTGATGATTTGTCACATAGCTCAGTGCATTACTCATTTCCTACTCAGGGAGGACACCAAACAGCACAAGTGTAGGATCATCACTACAAGGGTGCAGGAAGCCTTCCTGCCTTGATGATTTGTCACATAGCTCAGTGCATTACTCAGTTCCTACTCAGGGAGGACACCAAACAAGTCTAGGATCATCACTACAAGGGTGCAGGAAGCCTTCCTTTTCCTTTAATCTCCAAAATATTTTTTTCCAATTAATTGTGTGTAAAGTTTTGCCACCAGCACTTACAGTAATTTTTAAGTAGTGTTAAGTGGCAGGAAACAGCAGCAAAAGTACCAGCTTGGTTCAGAGTGATTTACAGCAGTGCTGTAGCTGACAGGCTTCTAAAACTGCTGTCGTTGGAGCCAGCAGGAAACATGACTGGGTCAAACATGTGAAGTTTTTTGCTTTAAAGCTTTTATTTCAGAGTGAACTAGTGACATGTCTGCTTGGAGAAGGAATTCTCTGTAGCTGTGTTCTAGTTCACAGAATTCAGAAAATAGTCCATTTGTAGAATTTCTTACTCTAATGGCATAGAATGTGGGTAAAGAACTTGTCTTTCATTAGTCCTGTTTAAAAACAAAAATATCAAAGCAGTTTTATTTTGGGGCATCTCTTCTGCAGCAATACCTGAAAGAACTGAAACAAAAAGCTCCAAAACCTCTAGCACTTGATTACTTGTAGTGCTTAAACATTCTGTGCAAATAATGCTGAAATACTGGGTTTATACAGTTTACTAACTGTAACTCGAGCGAAATTTTGGTCTTCTCTTCTTCATTTAAAACCAAAACTGATCCTCACCTTTGGCTGGTAGCTGTCTGCTAAGCAGAGTTTCCAGGAGTCAGTTGAAGAGGAGCGGGACAGCAGGAAGAAGAAGTATTCCAGTCCGCAGAGGAGCCGCACGGATTCCAGTGAGCAGAGGTTAGTTTTGAACCAACATGTTCATACCTTCTCCTGTATTTGCTGGCAATCTTTAACTGGGGATTTTTTCCACAAACCTGATGATTTCAAAGAAATAGTGACTTCCTCCCTACTTTTCTCTCTCTGCGATGTGTGATCTGCATACTGATTACGAGCATGAGAACCCTTCACTGGAAGCTGGTCTGTTCTGGAAAAAAGGACAGCATTTTTCAAACTTTAATACCTAGGAGTGTCATCAGTTGTGTTCTGTCCCTTGTTATGTAAAGGAAAAGCATTGTGGGGGAGTCTGCAGCAGCTGGGGTGTTTGTTCACAGGGTCAGCATCGCTTTTAAAGGGTGTTCTGTTTTGGTCACCTAATTTTTTCACCTTTCCAGTTCTTCTTTGTACTCCTCTTGCTGGTTTCTACAAAGTAGCGACTCAGCTATGAGCTCTGGCACTTTTCTGTGTCATTCAGGAAAGTCTGACTTGAATGCTGAGATTGGAAAGTGCAGGTTGATCTGTCCAGATTGGATGGGAGGGACGAACAATGACTGAGCTTGTTGGGAGCTTGTTTCTTAACTTTGTTTCTCTTTTCATTAACTTTGTCTACATATGTCTTTTCCAGAACCAGAGAGAAGAAGAGAGACGATGGGAAGTGGAGGGACTATGACAGGTACTATGACAGGAGTGACCTGTACAGGGAGAAGTCGAGCTGGCGGCGCGGCAGGAGCAAGAGCCGCAGTAAGAGCAGGGGCCTGAGCCGCAGCCGCAGCCGCAGCCGGGGCAGGAGCAAAGACCATGATGCAAACAGGAGTGTTGGTGAGTACCCAACGTGCTGGCTGGGGAGAACATCTAATGGTGTGCAGGGACTCCTGCATGCTGTGTGGTCTAGCAGACTGCGGATGTTCTGAGTTATTGGGACAAATTTTATTTTGAGAGCTTTGTGTGCCTGAAATTAATAAAGATGCTGTTTGTCAGAGGACAACAATTAAGGGGATTGCTGCTTCTTTGCTAACCTCTTAATTTATCCACAGGTGTATACCAGGGGATATCAGTAGCTGATATTTTTGTGCTCTGTGTGTTGACAAAGCTGTTGGTTTTCTTTTTTTCCACAAAGATCTATCTTTTAGCAAAATAGTGTTACTTTCTTTTTCACTTTGTTACTGTGTATTTTTTAGAGATGGTTGCTTGCCATTGAAAGTGGCTACCATGTATTCTGTTGTTCCTTTTAGGGCTAATTAAATCTGTTGGGAGAAGAGGCCCAGGTTACAACAGATTTCAATGCATGTTGAGACCATGTTAGTTATGGGCAAGGGAGGGTTTGCTGTTTCAGGCTTTTTCCCTCTTTTTACTTTAAAAGAGAAATCTGTAATCAGAATGGAGTAAAGAGTGGAGAAATGTGTGTGTGTTTTGCAAAGAAATCTGTTAGATTTCTAAAGTTAAAACTGTTTTTGCATTATATTTAGTTCTTAGTCTGTTGGTAAGAGTAAGCTCCTTCAAGAGCAGTCTAACATGCAGAATATCAAACATTTAAGGAAACATTTATACTGTGAGTACCTTTTTCACAAGGCTGCAGTATACAGAACGAAGCAGGAAGACTTTAATTTTTTTTTCTTTTTTTTTTTAAACAGACCACCGAGAGAGATCAAAGTTCAAGAGTGAAAGAAATGATGAAGGTTCATATAATCCAGTTTCCATGTCTCCCAGTAAATCTACTGAACAGTATTCCTCTGCACAGTCTATTCCCAGTGCTGTTACTGTGATTGCACCTGCACACCATCTTGAAAACACCACAACAGAAAGCTGGTCAAATTTCTTCAACAACCACAGCAATCCCAGTTCATTTGGGAGAAACCCTCCTCCTAAAAGAAGATGTAGAGATTATGATGGTAAACAGTTTCTTAGTTTTCAGTTTCTTATCTAGTTTCAATTATTCTGTGAACCTTTTTTATTGTAGATATTCACTAAATGTAGCAGCAATTCAGAATGCAGTAGCATGTGGAGTATTCCTCATATGTAAAAGATGCATATATGATCTATATTTCACTGGGGAAATAACTAGTCTTACAGGAAGCAGTTTACTTCTCTGACAGTTGCTGGATAGGAACATACAGAGTTTGCTCACAATTCTGTATATGCTTGGCCAATATTTCAACCCCTGGCAGTTCTGGTGGAGATTTCAGTATGTGTTTAATAGAAAGCAGATGGTCCTTCTGACTTCTTTCTTCCACAGCCTTAGTGATGGGTGCATGTATGTTTGTGTGCTTTCAGGGAAGACTGTTCTAATCTGAATGATTTTGAAACCTCATCTGATAATGCAATGTTGGATCAGTGACTGCATGTTTTCAGCAAAAACTGAGCTGCTAGAAGTTGCTGACACCTGATTTATTTTTTGATGGTAAAGAGGTGGTTCCATGTCCTGTTTTGCAGAGCGAGGATTTTGTGTGCTCGGTGACCTGTGCCAGTTCGATCACGGAAATGATCCGTTAGTAGTAGATGAAGTTTCCTTGCCAAGTATGATCCCTTTTCCTCCACCACCTCCGGGACTTCCTCCTCCTCCTGGCATGCTTCTGCCCCCCTTGCCAGGTCCAGCTCGGAACATGAGGCTGCCGGTTCCACAGGCGCACCCCCAGGCACCCCCTCCTGTCGTGCTCCCCGTACCAAGTGAGTCAGAGTGGTGTTGTGTGGCTCTTCCTCCCCAGGGGAAAACGATGGCTCTTTCTGCAAGACCTATATGTATGCAAAGTAATGAGTTCAGGTATCTTTGCTACCTATGTGCTAGTCAAAACGTTGCCAAAATAATTCTGAAAATTCAGCTTGTGAGATGAGGTGTTTCTAGCCCTCCAAACGGGATAAATTTGGTGGGGAGGTGGGGAGTGCATCCTTGGGATTATCTCAATGCTTGTGGTGTTTGGGTTGATCACTGACAATTGGCTGCTAGCAAATTTTTTTTTTTCCTAACACAAAATTGTTGAGATTTAATCTCCTAGAAGTTCTAATAAACTTCTGTGTTTGTGCTGTACTATCTGCTACTAAAAAGTGATACATAATTAATCACAGAGTGATTTCTGGGATGTTCAGTCTTTTTTGTTGCCGTACTGTGTCTTATAGTGTAAACTCTGAAGAAACAGAATATCAGCTGTGTGGTTACTCTGTTTCAGTACTCTCTATTCCATAACACAGCACATGCTGTGGTAGCTGTCTCGAATAGTAACAGCTGTGGGATGAGAAACAATTTTAGACAGGATTAACCCTAAATTTTGCATGAGCCTCTTAGTGGGTGGGATTGACTGGCTCCTGAGTGAACTGACAGTGCACTCTGACTGTGGTCATATCTCCATGCCTTGTGCAGCATAACTCATTCTCTTTCTTTTGAGGCAAGTGTTAAGTAGGAATGTCTGTATCACATGTGGTGCAAAAATAGGTAAATTCCTTGGCCATAAACACTTTTTACCCTGTAGTTCTTGTTCTAGAGCTGTAATCAAAATGCTGCTGGTAAGTTCTCTGGCTGTGAGCAAGCCTCAATTCTTCATGGCAGAGCTGCTTTTGTTAATACAAGCTGTAACAATACTCAACCTCTGGTGAAGAAAAGACACACTTTGATTTGGGTTGTGGGCTTTTTTTTCCTTAAAGCTCTGTCCTTTCTGGGCAAGAGAAAAGGTGCTGGAACCAGAGTAACTTACCTGAACAGGCATTCTCAGTTTATTTTACTGTAGTGGGGTTGTAAATATTCGCAGTCCTGGCCTTGCTCAAAGCAAGGCACCCAGGAGTGGCCCTGGGTGGTCTGCAGGCCCTGCCTGTGGGGCTGGCCCTGGGTGAGCCGTGCCGCCGTGTCG